CAGACCGAGCCTTAATGTACAGACCGAGCCTTAATGTACAGACCGAGCCGTGGCGAGGTCTGTGCAAAAAGACCAAGGTCTGATATTTCTCTGCACAGACCGAGCAAGCGAGGTTAATAAATGTTTTATTATATGACTCTCGTCTGTGTCCAATGCTTTTGAGATATTTGTGAAGTATGTTCATGTCCGACTTGGTTTTGTGTTTGAAGGATGCTCTGACCATTTGCACATTCTCCATATTAATTTATTCCCATTTTATGAACCTTTAGATGGACCCAAGAAAGAAGTTTAGCCTCACCCAGAAATGTGTGTCTTTAGGCAAAAAATATATAAATCTGCCTGAACCACAGCTGGCCATAACAGAATGCCACAGGAAACTTTATAATTTAATTTGTCAGCATTTTTCTCAGCCTACAGCCTCCTTACCTCTCTACACTAAGTCTGGATTAGCTATTTTTCCATCAGTGCTGAGGATTAAATGCTATATCACTGACAGGTCCATGCATATTAATGTCCACAAGTCCTTGTTTTAGAGTTTCTTCTGAACTACCCACTGCCTCCTTTCTGTGGGTATCACCATTCTTTGCACAACAAATATGATTATTGTTTTGTACAAACTGAAAGGCAAGGCATGGCAAATATTATTAAATGCTATCTGTACCATTTTCCCACAAGTAAGTAAGTAAGTAATCTTTATGTATATACCGCCTTTCACAGATCAGAGTCATAAAGCGGTTTACAATTGTTATTTTTGGGCATTAGTCTCTCACTCCTCACAGAGATGGGAGGGGCCAGTACAGGAGGTTCATGTCAGGCCTATTGTACATGTTTTTAGTGGTAGGGGAAACCGGAGTATCCGGAGGAAACCTACGCACACGGGGAGAACATGCAAACTCCACTCAGAAAGGCCCTGGTCCGACCGGGAATCGAAACCAGGACCACAACCGCTGTTTTCTCTTCTAATAAAATCAAAGGCCATGTAAAGTGCTGGTTGAGCTTTTGAGTAAAAAAATCTAATAAAGCTAAATACGACTACATTAATTGGAATACTTATTTTGCAGTTTAATGGGAATTAAATGCATGTAGTTGTACAATACATATATATTATAATAAGTACACTACATTAGCACAGGTATCACAAGGACACCACCAAAAAGCACCATCATGTACACTCTTTTAGGAGTATAATTTTGTTTTTGGAAGTTATTTGGACAGAATACAAATGATAGTTTAAAACGGTTTGTTCTGGTTATATGAAACCGGTATCTTGTCCCAGAAGGAAGGAGTTCCAACTCTACCCAAAATTGCCACTTTTGTGCAGTACATAATATGTCCTGTCCTGTTTGCACATTTCTTACTTTTTGCTCAATTTTGAGTGATTCTATCCATGCCAAACGTGACATGTAAATTTCTCCTGGGTGAGATTAATAAAGTACATCTTACCCTCAGGGGGCGGTCGCGTATTCGGACAAGACTGAACTAAGTTCAGTCGGTCTTGTAAATGTTGTGAAAGTTGTTGGCCAATTACTTGATTGGCTTCTGACACAATTTTGCTCATATGATTCTTGACCTGGACAGACTCCCATAAAAGGAAACCAACTAATGGACAAAAACCAACCCCCCCCCAGACCCCTGTTATCCTCCACGTTCACATACCTGCCATATCTGTGAACTGGTCGTACATTGTTGCAGCTACATACTCTCTGAGATCCTCTTACTGTGTTAGAGTTTTGATTCTCTACCAACTACAGCCCTGTGCTGTTTACATCCTGCACACTTCTGCTCTTTATGTTCTATTATTACGATGATGCTCAAAATGTAGTTTTGTTGTTTTTGTGACAATGACAAAAAAATACTGAATCTTGAATCTTAACTCTTGTAGCTGTAGTCGGCTGTTGTCACTGCAGTGGACATCCTCCTCTCCCCTGAATCACACATGATATTCCAGCCGTATTTTATCTTTTTGTTTTTCCTCTTTGCAAAGAGCATGAAGTGAACACCTCCATGTTGTTCGAAGGTCAGCTCCTTTTGCCTGATTTTTCCTTATAAAGTTCTGCCCGATAAGCAAACCAATTAAAACCTGTCTACTTATATTGTTTGTCTCAACAGTGGACAAGAACTATAAAATGTGGTGAACAAATCACAACATGCTGCCTTTATTTTATGATTAAACAAAAGAGTCCGGTGAGTCACTAATTTGATGCTTTAGGCTGAGAAAAACAAGAGACTAAGACGAACACTTAAAAGAATTACTGGTATTCAGTCCGCCTGATGGATCTGTGCTCTTACTAATACCACTGTTAGCTTTTTAGAATGATCAATAATTTTTTATTTTTGTTGCTACTGGACACCTGAATTTCTCCTATGGGGATCATTAAAGTATCTATCTATCTATCTTCCCCCTTACATGACGTCAGTGGAAACATGCTCACATCAAAGATGAAGTGTACAAGCAGCTTATAGAAAAATGAAAAGTCAAGTACAAGTCCTCGCACGTGTCTGCCTGCATAATATAGTCTGTCCTGGCTTTTATCTGGCGCTCCCCGTGGACGAGCAGCTGCCTTTGTGAAGCACAGACCTTGAAGGACTAAGAGTGTAGCGCTGTGACATGCATGCACTATGGAGCACCGGATCCATAGTGCATGCACATCTATGACTATTACCATGAGGAGGCTCAGTCCCACCGGAGCTGAAGGTCACTTGTGGACAGGGCTGTTGTATGTGCGTGTGTGCGTCGTATGTGTGAGTGTGTTAGGGGAAGGGGTGAGTTCAGCAGAAATAAGCACCGCTGACATGGGAAGATCATTGTTTTAATTACAAGGGTTGGAAATAATCAATAACACATCCTACAGGAACAATACATGCACTGGTGAGAGGTACCAAAAGAACCACACTATCTAACAACATTCAAACAAGGAAGCACTTTTATCCACCATGGGGGTTAGGGCTGCCAACTATCGGAAAACAATTATAAAAGTTATTACTATGTGGAAATCATGTGTTTCTTTCATGCAGCTTGTTTAATTGTCATTTTAAATGTATTTTTGAATAGCCCTAAAACACACACTGCATGAAAAGTTAGATTTTCGTCACCCTAAACTGCAGGAAATCACGCTCTTTTTCGGGTATCTCAGGCAGTTTTCAGAAGGCGCAGTTAGGGTGCCCTGTCCTCCAAACTGCCGTATCCGTACCATGCTAATGTCCCTACTTTGCGTATGAATGCAGCGAAACACTGCGGCCGGCCGAGGCTAATGGCCCTAATTAGCATATGAATGCAGCTGCTGGCCAGGCTGCTATTCAGCATTGGTGAATACCACTACTTTCAAACTCGTGATTGGCTGAAAAATCACACGTGGCCAGCCCACGTGGGATTACTCCCCATTGGTAGCTTACTCCCCATTGGATGAAATCACTACTTTCAAATAAGTATAATCTCTCGTGATTGGCTGGCAGATCTGTCACTATTGGTCACCCTGCCTCATAATTAATGTAATAATATTTATATAAATATTCGTATTATTTATAGAAGAAATGAAAATTTTCCAGGAATATGTTCATACAAAGAAAGCTTTATTAAAACACACACACACACACAGCTTTATGCTCACACATAGGTAATTAAAAAATTACAACTCTGAACTGTCCAAATAGCCTCCTCGGGGTTGTAATTTGGCAGGGTTCTAGATAGACGCTTAATGTGCGTGGCTCTGTACTTCCGCACCGCCTCTAACCGGTACTGCAGCTTGACAGAGTTCAGAAAACTCCGGCTTTCGAAAAGACGGCGACCGCACAATCCATCCAGAGACACCGTCCACAACGCCTTCTTCTTCATTGGACATTAGGTCTACCGTGGCGGACTTCCAGAGTTCCACTTTGTCACTTTCTAGCACACTCGGTCTCGATTCCAGCGGCTGAAAGAATCAGTAAATATTATTAGCCAAATCAAATCCTTTTTCCCCATCTAAACATAGTGTCTAAAGCAGACCTGGAGATTCTTATCCATGCATTAGTCTCCAGTAGGTTAGACTACTGTGCCACAACAGCTGCAGTACATTCAAAATGCAGCAGCTCAAGTCCTGACCAGAACCAGGAAGTACGATGGCAAGGCAAGTTTATTTGTCTAGCACAATTCATACACAATGCAACTCGAAGTGCTGAGCAAAATAAGAAAGCATTAAAATAAATAATCACAGTACATTAACAAAGATAAATATAAAATACCTCAGTTGTAGCACAGCTAAAGCTCCTCTCTGACAATGTTTAAAACCAGGTTAAAGGGAGAAACAGTAAAACACTTACACACAATGTCGTCTTTATCAACATCGTGGAAATGTGGACTTATTGTTCACATTGTATTGCAGATATTGTGTTAAGCAAATAGGAGGTCACCGTCTCATTACGAGGCGAGATTAGTCTGAAAACAAAGTGTACAGTTATGATTGGTATCTATACATATCCATTACCGACACAAAACGTGTAGGTAAACCAAATTCAATTTCCATGGATACATTAACAATACTTACATAACCTTTTTGAGAAAATGGATCCTTCAATGAAAAAAGTGTGATAATTCTAAGAGCATAGCTTTTTTTGTTTTCGGGAAGGCATTTGTCTAAGGAGAAAAAAACACTCATGGTCAAAGGACTTCATGGTTACATAAAAAGGCTAAATTAATAGTATCTACAAGTACATATTTTCACAGGGACCTAACCAAGAGATAATCTACAGGAGAACATCTACCTAGGTCATTTATAAAAGAGATCAGTACTATTTATCTTACAATGGGGAATCAATAACAGTGCTGAGAGAAACTGAATTGTTATGTGATTATTGTGAAAGGTCTTTCAAGTGATTTTCATTTTATTTTGAGTAAATATCCTTCCACTTGTAAGAAGGAACTTTTGAGTATTAACTGAGGGATACAACATACCCATGTGTTTCACTCATGTCACTGACGAGAAGGTCGACAAGTTGTCTTCGAGAGCGGTGACTTAGTGATCTCACAGAATTATAATCTTTAAGGATCTCTCGGTCACCAGGGTTTTCCTGCAGTTCCACCATCTACAAACACGTGAAAAATGTAAAATGACAATCTACAATTGTACCAAAAATCTTAGGATACAAAATGCAGCAGGACCTCTTTTGATGTGTACCTTTCTCCTTTCCCCATCTCCTCTGCTGTACATATGTGCATTTCAACACCAAACACAATCATATGTCATTTCTTTTTGTTATTGCTTTATGAACTTACACAGGAATCGAGGTGCCGGACAATCTTGGAAAGCTTAGCGCCAGCAGACCCCCTTTTGGCCTTAAAGAGCTTGATGAACTGTGTCGTTAGGCAATCCAATGCTTCAACGAAATCATTGCCCAGTTTGGAGCTGGTGATCTGGTTAAATTCTGCCAGGACCTGCAAAAAAAACAACATAAAACACTTCAAGTTAAATGCATAGATGTAAAAAATGTGTACACACCTGTCTCTCTGTATGAAGTGCTGGCCAGCGCGCTTTGACATTTTCCACAGGTGGGGCAGAATTGACTATTTCTTGTTGTCGGACTGCAACACGCTGTAAAGCAAAAAAAAGAATAATCAATATATATAAAACAATATCACATGATTTTTGCTCAAATGTGTTTAAAGGAGGTCTAGATTCACTCAATAACATTATTAAGCAATGGACTTAATAAAAAAAATTAAAAAAATGAACAGAAAGACAACAGTGACAAATGAGATGAAAAAGTACAGTAATAAAAGTGAAAGTCTTAGCGCTCAAACAAAGACAGGAACAGTGCAAAACAAATGATATATGTTAGATATTCCACAGTCTCCTGTATATCAGGCTCTGCCATGAGCCCAAACTGCTTTTCCTTCGGTTCTTTCGAAGCAGTCTGCTCTGTGCGCCTCGTCCCTGCTCCTGCAGCAGTTCCATGCTTTACAGAAAGTTATCACACACGGAGCAATCACATATATATGTGATATATATATCACATATATGTTTTGGTTGTGTAAAGAGAGTGATGATAACACCAACAACCGTTTGTGTATATACTGGTCCAAGTGCTCGTGGGTCCTCCGGTATGATCCTCCGTCTGGTTGGGAGGCCACCAGCAGACTGAAGTCGTCTGCCAATGATTTGTGTCTGAAGGTCAGGAATGTAGTTGTAATCCTTTGCTTCTTTGACAGTGTGTACCCGATACCGTTTCGATTTTTTTCTGTACAGTCTCTTTAGGCTACAAGATAAGTAATTTCACGTTAGAAGACAACTATATTTATGACTTGTCAATAGGAAGTAGTGAATGATACTTACGACACTTGGCCTTTGCTGTACACATGTGCCGGACGGCTGTTGTGGTGATTGTAGTCCAAAGCTGCGAGAAGTGTTCTTGCTTCATAAACAAAAAATGAAAAAGCAAACCGCTTTCCGGCATACATCAGAATATGGTTTTGGAATGATTCCAGCTGTGAGGTGGTCCTACAGGGAAAGTAAGTAGGAAATAGAAGAAACACAAATCATTCAAAAAAACAAAAACTGATCTCTTACCGAAATGTGAGGAACTTCTCCACATCCTTCAGCCATCTGCGGTTCAGCACGATCTGTGACAGTGCCACATGTGCTTTAGAGCCAGTTGGTACAGGCTCTTTAGTGCCATCATCCCCCAAAGGACCATGAAGGCATCTACCCAGGTCCCACTCATGCACGCCACTAACATGGTGCAGTACACCTCGCCAAATGTCCTAATAAGCAAACATAAGAAACTGAAAAGGTATAGTGAAAATGAGAAGATAAATTCTAGTTCTACTTTACTTACCATGAACTCTTCTCGGCTGCTTGCATGCTGACAGGCATACCAAAAATGGTTAACAATGTCCTTGATCCACCCAAGGATTTGTTTTTCTACCTGCTAGGACACCCGCCTATCAAAGTTATTAGTTTTGGTTATGTCTATAAAAAATAATTGAATGAGAAACGATATGAACTATCACTTACAGCATGAAGCCTCTTAGTTAGATTTTTTTCAGCATGCCAGACATCCAGGGAATGGTTAACTCCATGATCCATATATCTTCCCCGTTCTGGATCTATTATAAAGCTCAAAAATGCAGTAAGCACAAAATATAGCACATCAAATAATACAGACAAAAATACTTACGCATGAGGGCTGCAATTTGCACATGGGCGTCACAATCTCTTTGACTTTTAATTCTTTCGTGAGATCATCAAATGTTTTGATGAACGCTGCTTTCTCCATAGAGACACTTTTTCCACCAACTTGCCTTTTATCAACATTGACAACACTGATAATGTCCATAGTGTCAAGTTCCATCGTTGTGTATGTGCAAAACGTTGCAGAATGACCTTGTTGAATCAAATATGGTGAAACACAAAGTAATACACAATAACTATGTTGTGAAGTGAAAGGCTTCAGACTTTCCTGGTGAGTCCATTCTCCCGTCAGCTGTAACAGATATAGTACTTATAGTGACTGCAAATACGACAAAGATTGTCCTTTAACACATTACTTACCAAGGGCCACAATGCCATCTTTTGACTTTAATCGAGTTACAATAGACAACCTCTTCTGCTCCCAAAATGCCTTTATTTCAGGTACGCAGTAGGGGTGTTGAATTTTGTAATAAGTTGTCGTTGAAACCATCTTCATATTCATAAATTTGAAGAGGAGGGCAATCTTAGCAAAATTATTACCACTCAGTAATAAGTTGGCAGATCCATAACTTGTGTCCATAAGAGCAGAACTATGGAGAAAGAAACAAATAACTTTTACTAAATGTATAACTACACATTTTGCCTACCCTAAATACCAATCTCTAATTTCAGCATTCACTCACCCATTCCAATATGATTGATGTGCCCCTAGAACGTGATTGAACCGAAAATGGAGGCCGACCGTCACACTCAATACCAGAAACCGGATCGCTGTAATGGCATTTGTTGATGGGCAGTTGCAGAAAATTAGCCATTTGCAGCAAGCTAATAGTATACGCTATGCATGCTTGTTGGTGCACTAGGTCAGTTTCAGCAACCACACGAATTGGCTTTGGGAATGTTGATATGTCCTGCTCAGACTGATCCTCAAAGTCCTCTGGTTCTCCGGGATTTTCTGGGTCACAGATGTCCAACACAGCTTCTTCTATGCCGAGGATGGGAAGATTGTCAACTTCTCTTTGAATTGCAACACCAGCACTGAAAACAAGAACAATTTGATGCTTTTTCAAAAAACAATTAGGGAAGGACTTCCATTATTTTCAGGACAGAACATTTAATAAAAAAAACCTCAAAGATATAGGTGGGACATATTCCGAATCTAATGGATCTGAGGCCAAATCTTCATCAAACTCAATCCTGTGAAAGTAAACAGGTCATATTTTAAAACAATCAACAAAATATTTCTTTTTAAACATGTTAAGTAACTTACACACTGTCTTCTAGATTGTTTGCCCGTTTTTCGTTTAACCAAAGATCTGAATGTCTACAAAAAACAATAAATCATATAAATAAACGACCTAGAAATGAGAATACAATGTACATCTTAATGTGAATGCATGTCTACCTTTTCTCCAAAACCTCCAGCTCTTTCTCCTCTTTAAAAGGCTGCACCCCTGCCACAGATAAGTCATCCCTGTTAAAAAATACAGTTTGTTTCAGTGAAATTGTCAATAAGGCTTGAATCAAACATAATGCCAATCCCATTTTTCTGGGAAAAAAAAGTACCGGTCAGATTCTACGGGACTGATTGAACTCGGGAGATCACCAGTCGCAGTAGTGGTTTTTAGGAGTTGAGGCCTTGGGACTCCTTGATGCCATAATTTTTTCATAGCTATAAAGTAAATAAATACACGTTACCTATACACACATGCATCTCATTGTATTCCAGTTGGACTAACCACATTATATTACTAATATAGTCTGCAATTCTACGATACATATAGTACAGGTACTGAGGTACATAATCACTGCATCTGCAAGTTTCATAATGGTTTACATGCACAGTAGCAGCCCAATAATGTACACAGCTGTACTAAGCTAACACATGCTAACGTTCATTCAAAAGCACTAATCAACGTAACAGTCATTATTTCTAGACATTCTTCATACAGAACAAACAAAATGCTGAATGTGTCTCGCCAATCTGTTACTGTTCAGAAAAAAACCGAACCAAATGGAATCAGTCCATGTTGCTAAGTCAAAAAGCTAACACACAATAATGCTATATCTCTTCGTATTCGTGCAAGACACTAGGACGTTTAGAACTGAGTCACCGTCTTACCTTCTAATCAAGATAAACGCCAAATGAGGATCATTTTTTATCCCCAGAGCGTTTCGGAGACTTCTCCATTTCTCAAACGCATGGGCGAGAGCGACTCGGGTCTGAGCTCTCCGCCGGTCGGCCTCTCGCTTCGTTCTTTTCGTAGCACTAGTGACAATCTTTTTTCTCTTCGCTTGGCGTGGAGTTCCAGACGGTGATTCTGAAGCTGGTCTCTTAGAAGAAACTGCTGGATCCATCTTCAAATACGCGTGATACGGAGACGGACAGATCCACTGAACGCGAGGGAACATATGGAGCCAAAACAGTGAACGGGCACGCGCATTGCGTCACTTCCGCTTAAACAGCGCGCGAGAAAGCGACCCGAGTCTGGGATTTCTCAATCACTGTATGCGCTCACAGAAGCAACCACAGTGAATCTGCTAATGCTCAGTTTACACACCAGGCAACTGCTGATGGACCACAGATGCAAAATATTGCATTATGGCATTTTTTAACTTACGCAATGCACCTGTCAAAATTATCGTTTTGACTCACGTTAATTACATTTTTTATTAACGCGTTATTTTTTTTAAATACCCGCCCATTTATCCATAAGAATATCACTCAGAATGCTGCTGTGAGATGGCCTCCTCCGTGGCCGCTCTGGTTGTTGTTAGCGGCTGTGAGTGAGTGCAAGCTTTGCACGGGCTGCAAGCATGGATCTAGCTATTATAATAACAGCAGCAAGCGATTGCTCCGTTCACATACTCAGCGCTCTGCGCACTGTATTTTCCCTGGTTCTTGTCTGTCAGGCACAATCTGCGCACTGTATTCTCCCTGGTTCTTGACTGTCAGGCGTGAGTGTTGCTCGTGTGTGTCTTTGGGAACTAATTATTTTAAAATAGTCTCTTTCAATTGCAAGTTTTGTAATCTGTTTGTTTGATCAATGGATAAAAATAAATGCAATTTAATTAAATGGCACCTTGGCCTGTCTTATACCTGTTTGCCTGCAGGACAGTTCCCTAAACTAACATATCATACTAAAATAGGGTGGGGTTGTTGCAACAATTAATCTACTTAGAAGTTATCCTAAATTACAGCCAGCTAAAGCTCGGTACCACGACAAACGAAAAAGTAACGCAATAGTTACTTTTACTGCTAACTAGTTACTTTTATAGTGGAGTAACTCAGTTAGTGAGTCAATTACTTTTTGGTAGAAGTAACTAGTAACTATAACTAATTACTTTTTCAAAGTAACTTACCCAACACTGGTAATTATATTTGATAATCTCATTTAACTTCAATTGGAGTGGATTTGAAATAGAATGTTAAACATGCGATTAATCGTGAGTTAACTCACCATTACTATGCGATTAATCAACTAAAAAAAATGAATCGTTTGACAGCCCTAGTGTATATATATATATATATATATATATATATATATATGTATATGAGCACCAGAGCGATAGAGGCCCAGATATACCACACCAGACAAGACCCAAGGTGTCGGTTGTGCAAAGAGGCACCTGAGACGATCCAACACATAACTGCAGGGTGCAAGATGCTGGCAGGGAAGGCCTACATGGAACGCCATAACCAAGTGGCTGGCATAGTGTACAGAAACATCTGTGGAGAGTATGGGCTGGAAACCCCAAGGTCTAAGTGGGAAACTCCTCCAAAGGTGGTGGAGAATGAGCGTGCGAAGATCCTGTGGGACTTCCAGATACAGACCGACCGAATGGTAATGGCAAACCAACCTGACATCGTGGTGGTAGACAAAGGGCAGAGGACAGCCGTGGTGGTGGACGTGGCAATTCCAAGCGATGGTAACATCCGGAAAAAAGAACATGAAAAGCTTGAGAAATACCAAGGTCTCAGAGAGGAGCTGGAGAGGGCCTGGAGGGTAAAGGTGACAGTAGTGCCCGTGGTGATCGGTGCACTCGGGGCAGTGACCCCGAAGCTAGATGAGTGGTTACAGCGGATCCCTGGAACAACCTCGGACATCTCGGTCCAGAAATGTGCAGTGCTAGGAACAGCAAAGATACTGCGCAGAACCCTCAAGCTCCCTGGCCTCTGGTAGAGGACCCGAGCTTAGAGAGGGATAACCGCCCGCGGAGGGCCAAAGGTGAGTGGACAAATTTTATATATATAATTTGAACCGAGATATAGAACACATCTTTCATGTCATGAATAAAAATAAAAAATCCAAACTTTTGGTCTGTACTGTACATACATGAGATGAGCACTTACACTTTCAACATGTCTTTTGTCCTATTAGATTTATTTAATTGATTTTGACATGACAAGCTATAATCAATCATGATCAAATATGTGTGTGTGTGTGTGTGTGTGTGTGTGTTTGAGCATTTACAAAATCCGGGTCTACGGTGTGCTCCCCCTCAACCCTGATTAGCATTTGTATAGCTCACAGCATTGCCATTTACATGTTAAAGCCTCCTGTGGAGGAGGGAGGAGGGGACAACAAACTGCCGAATCCCAGAAGTTTCACAGTAATATACAGGGCCGAAAAGAGACGAAAATCACACTTTTCATGCAGTGACAACAGCAATCGTCTCGTGGTATTCACCAACAACAGATCAGAGAATTACACAGTTTGAACCCAACAAATGCAATAAGAAGAAATACATAAGAGTCATTGGTCCATACGGGGCGGGATGTTAATAAATGTGCACAAAAGTCCTGAAATATCACTTTGCTTAGACCCTCCTGCATCAGCAAGGAATTACTCAAAAAAAAAAAAGTGAGAAACCCATGTCGAGAGAGAAAGGCAGGCTTTGGATCCAGGCTGTGTAAGACTGTGAAGGCTTCCAGGCGTGGAGGGGGGTGCAGCCCATGAGTCCGAGCATGGGGAGACCAGTCCCCACTTGACATACTTACTAACTTACACAACAGGGATGTGTGACCCGTCTATTGCTTTGTGAATCTGTGGCAGGTCCTGCGCTGGCTATTTGTTTTGCCTCATTCACATCTGGCCAAGCAATGTATTTTATCAATAGTTTTGTGCATAAAGCCCCATAAACGCATGAATGGTCTTGCTCACTCAAAACTGTCTTAGCCACTGCCCTGCACTCTGCATGTAGCCAGTTTATAGATAGGATGCAACACTCAAGGGCAGTGGCTCTTTGAGCAGTGCGCAGAGGGTGCCACAGAGGTCCCACCGCAAAATTCCTCAAATGAGGTTTTGACGTTTTGGATCCCGAGTTCTTCTGTGAAATCACGGACACTTCCCAAACTCATGGAATCATTTGGACACGTTTTAATCCAGTGCTTGTAATGGGGTCCGTTCATCTCAATAGGAAAACACAGTATTCACATTCCTCACTACTCTTACCAGCATGTATGACATCGCATTCATAGCTCTGGTGATGTAATTTCTTGTTGAGTATAATAGCCATTCTTACAAATGGGATATGAATTAGCACACAAGTGCGAGTTGTCCTTATTCATGGATGAATATTTGCAATGATGTGTAAAAAGGATTATGTTTATGTCTGCTCTTGCCTATTTATTACAAGAAAAATAGCTTGAAAACGTCTCGGAAAAATTGAGTTACATCATAACATAAAAAATGTGACAAACAATGATATCAATGTCCTGTTATTTTTACTGTTATACTGTTGTTAATTAGAAATCAAAGTCACCTTCAGAGTATTTCAGCTCTGAGATCAGGGTTAAATAAGGGTTTGAGTATGTTTCCAGTTATTTTCAAAGGCCTAAAACTGAAAAAATGCCAGATATCCGAGTGAGGCTGCGGATCCGTCAGAAACTTTGAGATCTCTGGAGGTGCTTGAGTGAATGTGCCAGTCCTTTCCCAGTCCTGTATATTTACAAGTCTGTCACCTTCATATTGAGATTTGAAACAAGGACCTTTTCAGGTGAGTTTTTGATATAACCTTCAATATGAATAATTATTTCTGGTTCTTGATAGTATCAAGTCAATCGGACATAAAATGCATGTGAATGGGTTTCATATAATGGGACTGAAAAATAGAATGTGTGTTCTCTGTGGTATGAGACTGAAAAGTATTTAGTTTTTTAATCACTGATTATATTCACAAAGGTGTTTCAGCTACAGATCAGTCACATGGAAGCAGCACATAGTCGAGATGCTCCTCCTACACAGTGAGAGAATCCGATTCAGATTCATTTTATTCGCCATTTGCAGTAACACTACATTGGAAGACATTAGTAAAAGTTCCCAGTGTGCACAGGACAAGTACAGACATAAAACAACATTAAAAGACAAAAATAAAACAAATTTTAAAAACAGTAAACAAATGTCACCGTGAAGTTGACCAACTAAAACAGATCTATACAAGTGCAAAAACATTAAAGTGCTCTGTTCACACTGATAACAGCTCGTGGAAAAAAACTATTAGCATAACGAGATGTCCTGCATCTCAGAGAACAGTATCTTCTGCCAGAGGGAAGAAGCTGGAACAAGGCTTTTCCTGGGTGG